GTATTTCTTCTGCTCCTTTTCTCCCTCTTGTTTCTTAGAATTGGTAGATAGTTGGTGAATTAAAGGAAGAAATGGGCTATAAAATGCTGCTCTTCTAGCACTCTGTTGCTAATATATTTTAAAACATTATTAAAACAAAAAGCCTCAGTCTTTTTTTTTAAATTCCTCTCTCCAGTGGAGTAATGGAAATAACACTGGTTTTTTTTATTTGTTTGTTTTTGTTTTTGAGCCCACCAAACCTGGGTTCAAATCCTTATTCTTCCATTTATTAGCTGTGTGAACTTGGGCAAGTTACTTCAATTCTCTGAGCCTCATTTTCCTCATCTGTAAATTAGAAAAAGCAATGCCTACTTCACAGAGTTGGGAGAAAGATGTACCCAAAATAAATCTAAGTGCCTACATCATAGAAGCTATACAGCGCATATTTCCTTCCATTGTTCTTCTTCATTGAATTTCAGTCTGATTAACAAAAATAATTTTAATAAGCACCTAGTATGTGCCAGATCTTATGCACCAGGATCCAAACAAAACAAGATATGGTTCACCTCTTCAAAGAACAGTCTCATGCTGGAACCAGAAAAGTCAGAAATCAGCAGGGAACAATGTGAAAGGTGCTACAGGCGCTAGGGGAAACCAGAGGGGGTCCCCTAAGGCTTCTTGGGGATTGGGTGGGGAGGAAAGGAGGAGGACCCCTGAGGAGGTCACCACTGATCAAGAGCCTTGAATGATGTTGGAGCTGGGAGAAGGATGTTCTGGGCAGAGGGGAGAAAATGAAAGCTTACCTTTGGGAATTGCTGCAGGTTTAACTGGAGAAAAGGGATGTTGGGGAATGAGAGGGTATTAGAGTGAGCAGTTGAGTAAAGGCCAGATCATGAAGAACGTTGTATGCTAAGGCTGGGTCTTAGTTTGAAAACTAAGACCCCATGATGAGGGAAGGATCTTACCTGAAGCACAGAGGGCAACTCTAAGAAATCCTTATTTATACAAGGACCCTTAGAGTTCACAGAAGTTTGTTTTCTGAGTATCAAAAATCTCCTCGCAATGGTTGGCAAACAGAACATTTTTAATTTAAGAAGTGTTTAGATCAGAACAGAAGAGGTTAAGTATCTTATGCAAAAGATATTTGATTTCATCCACCAGCACCATAAAACTAGGCAAAAGTCATTTTAACTTCACTTCTAAAACTAAATGTAATTTTAATTTGAAGTCTCCGTCTACTTTCTTTTTTGTTGTTTTTAAAATTATTGAAGCTTTTTTCTTATCAGAAAAGAAAAAGTGCTTATTAAAATATCTGAAAATGCAGAAAATGTGCAAAGAGCCAAAAAAAAAAAAAAAAGAAATCAGAAATAGAAAACATGAGTATTTTCACCAGAGATAAACTTGTCAAATTGGATTCATATTTTATTTACTTTTTTTCCAAAATAATTGGATCCAACCGTATATACTGTTATGTGGCTTGAATAAAATATCCCTCATCATGCATTAATTTATATAACAAACTTATAAGGATCTTCTCAGACTTGGGCAAAAATGAAATGATGAATTTGAATGCTGTAGAAAGCGATGTAATCCAAGTGTGCACAGTTATGGGAGACCCCAACAAGGAAGCTATAAGACTCTGGGAGCTGAAAGTTGGATTTTGAAGGATGTCAAAATCTGCCTGGCATAGAGGAGCAGAAAGCATTTACCAGACAAAAGAAACAGTGAGGAACTACTGGAAACCTTGATAGACCGTGGCCTGTGGGAGGCCAGGGAGAAGTCTAGTTTGCCTGGACGGTGCGGTGAGCGGGTGGGATTCAACAGGAGGTGAGCAGAGGGCTGTGAGACCCAGTTACGACAGCCCTTGTTTGCTAGGCTGCAGAGTATGGAATTTGTTCTGTAGACAACAGGGAATCAATTACTCCCTTATATTAAGGCAAATAATACTAAGTGACCACAACCAAAACCCTGCTTTGCTCTTTTCTTAAGAATACATTTTTAAAAATTTTAGTGTTTAAAGGCATCTTCATATACAGTCTCTATGAGCATTTCTTGGAAAATTCTCATCACCTCTGAGTAGCTTTTTCAGCACTTTTTGGAGTTCTGTAGTGACCTATCTTTGTACATGCAGCATTCAGCTAAGTTCTGCAACGGCAAATTGGTCCTTCAGGAGCACCCTGGGTAGAGCTTATTTAGGCCACTCTCCAGGATAGAAAGGCATGTGTTTGGCCCTGCTAGATGCCAGGACCTGCAGGAGGGCTGTGATGGTAGGAAGGCTCTGGAACCTAGTATTCCCATTTTCTTTTTTCCTCAGAACGAAATTGTTTCTTAACCAGCTCACTGGTGCCATCCAGTGGTAAGAGCTGGACTACAATTTTGAAGGTCTGCACATGGTGAATCCAACTGAAACTTCTTCAAGTGTCTGACCCATTATTTCAACCTTTTTTTCCCTATGGGAATTTTAAGAGACATCTCAGTAAACAGTTTTTCTCCTGAATTTTGAGGCAGCACAGTGTGGTGAGGAAAGCACAGGCCCTGGCTCTTTGCAGACTAACCTAGAGGTCTTGGGTACGTCCCATATTTTCTCTGAAACTGTTACCTCCTCTTTAAAAAAAAAAAAAAAAAACTCTTTTATATTTCTAGTGAGGATCCTTGGTGGCACAATGGTTAAGCACTTGGCTGCTAACCAGAAGGTCGACAGTTCGAACCCACCGGCTGCTCCACGGGACAAAAGATCTGCTCCCATAAAGATTACAGCCTAGGAAACCCTATGTCTGTGTCCATCTATAATTAATAAATAAGTCATGTTCATCCCAATACATATTCATAAGCATACCTCAGAGGTTTTAAACCACAATCTCATGATGCAGGGGAAAGAGTAAGGCCTTTGCATCAGATAGACCTGAGTTTAAATCCCACCCTTGCCGCTTTCTACTTATGCGCCTTTGACAAGTACGCTCCTTCCCCAGGCCTGTTTCCTTATCAGTACAATGGGGATGGCACGTCTCACCTCATAGGTCAGGGCCAGGGTCAAAGTCAGGGTTACAGGATATAATACATGTAGAGCAGCAGACACTGGTACTGATAAATAGCAGATCTTTGTTTAATAGAAGTAATTATTGTTCAGGCTCTGCAGCTTACCTGTTTACCTTGAGCAAAGCACTTCCACTCTGAGGGTCAGATTCCTCTTCTGTCAAATGGGGATCACAGTTCTTTCTCTTAGAGTTCTGCAGATGCAGTGATGGAACCACCCCAAAGCACTGGCACCTCATAGCTGCTTAACAAATGCTAGTTCCTTTCTTTCCATAAGTACGGAAGTACTGACCCATTGCAAATAAGTACCAGCTTTGTTATATAATCTTTCTCTCTTTCATTTTCTCTCACACACACATAGCATCTATACTTTATTTTTCTCCATCTCTGTCATTAAAAATTAACCAAAAACGTAAGAACCTGTGAAGAAGGCAGAGAGGGTCAGGAGCTGGTTGAGTGGACACGGGAAATCCAGGGTAGAAAGGAAGAGTGTGCTGTCACAGTACAGGGAGATCAAGTAGGGTCACAAAACAATGTATGTATAAATTTTTGTATGAGAGACTAACTTGAATTGTAAACTTTCACTTAAAGCACAACAGTAAAAAGAAAAATATATGCATATAAAAATGTAAATTTTTTTAAAAAAATGACCAAAAAAAAAAAAAATACCCTTGAACAGTCAGGCATAATTAAAGTTATTACACTGTTAAGAAAAGAACCAATGGAGGCTTTTTAAAAAAGCTGCAAGTTTATTTGAGGCTTGCCATAGTTTCTTTCTGTTCCTCACACCAGGTGCACGGGTCCTTATTTGAACAGTTGTACACTTATCTGGCCCACTGCCCCCAGAGCCCCTGTCCTGGCCACATGGCTCCAGCAACAGCATCTCCAGATCCTTGGTTGGGCTCCACCGGCCACTCTTTTCTCCAGCTATCACTCTTGTTTTCTAGCGCCTCTACCTCTCCAGCACCAGCTGTCAAATTCCACCTTCTCTTAATTTTGGAGTCAATGTCAGGGGGTCCATTATCATAGAAGTCCTCCCAAGCCTCTTCTCTGCAACTAGAAATGACTGCTGCCATGTTTGTGTCTCCAAAGCATGTCATTCTTCAAGGAAGAGAGAGGGAAAGGGATGAATGTGTACTGAATGCTTTATTCATGATATATGTTAATACTTTTCACCTTCTCAATAACCTTGTCAGGTAGGTATCATGGTCTTCATTTCACAGATGAGGAGACAGGGGCTCATTCATTGCTTGATTAAACAAACATTCATTGAACACTAACTGCCAGGGCCTGGGAGTACAGCAACCAACAGAGCAGACACATCCCTACACCCGTGGTTCTTACAGGACTCTACACGGGGTGAACCAAGCAGGCAGGAATGAAACGTACAACAGACTATTCCAATTGTGAAGAAGGGTTCCATGAAACGGTGGCAGAGGGGGATATGCCCTCATATCAGAGGTTAAGGAAGGTATCCCTGAAAAATGGACATGTCAGCTAAGGCTTGCAGGCTCCGGGAGGTCACAAAGGTAATAAGGGACAGAACTGGGATCTAACGCAGGTGAATTTGGTTCCACTATGCCTCGTGCCCTCCTCTCCTGTACATATTCACATTTATGTCATTGTATATTAGTATACATACTAATTAGTCTAGTACAGTAATATATTAGTACTTTAGAGTCTCTGTCTCTTTCTTCCCAATAGATAGTTGTAACTGGAGAACAGCAACTTAGTCTCCCAGGCACCTAGTACATACTATTAGTAGTAAACATAAGTAAATTCTTATTTAATTTTTGATATATGTATCTGTATGTAATTGCCCATCTTTAATAATATTATATGGATACAAAGGTGCCCAGATTCTACCCACGTATATTATTATTTTTTAACCAACACATCTATATGGTTTTCTCCTGTTCTTAAGCTCCTTTTATTCAGGCATTTCCTATTTTATCAACTGGGGTGATGCAGGTCAGCTTACAAGAGACATGGCAGCTGGCAGCAGCTCTGCAACAGGTAGAACTTGGAGGCAGCTCATTCACCTAATTAAAATGGCATTAAACATGTCCTCCCAAGTGCTGAATGGCACAGCCTGCTGCCCAGGCCATTCTTGGAGATGAAAGAGGAGCACTTGCCTGTACCAGGCACTGTACTAGGAACAAGGGATACAAAGAAGAAAGACACATGTAGTTATTCAATGAGTGTTTATTTTTTCTGCTGCTTAGTAGTTCACAGTCTAGTGGAGCCCACAGACATGCCCATAGCCCACGCACACACACAAATGCACAAACCAGTGCGTTACATGCAGTAGACGTGTGCACAAGTGGAGGGAGTAGCTAACTCCACAGAGGGTTGGGTGGGGAATCAGGAAGGTCTTTCAAGCAGGTGGAAGTCAACTTGCTTGAGGTGGGAAAAGGAATGGGAATTAGGCAAGTAGAAAGGGGGTAGGATGTGGTGGGAGCAGGCAACAGGCTAGACAGTCTGCCTGGGCAGAGGCCCAGAAGCGAGAGAGAGGATGGCACATTTGGGATCTGCAAACGCCCTCAAGAACCAGGCAGGTGATGCAGATTGGTGGAAGGCCAGGAGATTGCATGTGAGCTACATTGACATATTCTTCATTTCCGCTAAGAATGTCTTCCCTCCCACTTTTCTTGACTGGTACACACTGAAGCTATCCTTTGTTTTCCCACCTTTGATTGAAACTTAGATAAAGAGAAATTTTTCTCTACTCTAAGAAATACAGACGTCCAAATCCAATGATAATTGGTAAACGATACTTGCTCGTGTTGGCGAGACAATCGGGAGCAGTACGCACTGACAGCATGTTCTCCACCTGAAGGGGACGACCATTCTTCAATGCCAGCTTCTCAGTGGTTCCAGATCTCGCAGTTTTTCAGAAAAAGTCAGAAATTTGGATTTTTTACAGAATAGCCAAATTTTTAAGCTTTGGCTTGGTTTAAAACAAGCCACCAAACACAATTGCAGGCTGAGCCTTATTCGTGCGCCATGCTTGCAACCTCTTGTTTAAAGACTCTGCAGTCCCCAGGGTATTTTCAGAATCCTTCAACAAGTCGTTGTTCTGCTTATAGTTTCACCTAATCATCCTTCTCCCTTTGTTTTCCAGAAAGAGATGACGAGCAGGATGTGTCACTAACGCTCCAGCTCATGTTTCGAAGGAAGAGGGAACACTCTTTCCTCATGGAGTCCCGAGCGGGCAAGAGGCTGACCTCCCTGGCTGAAATGGCGAGCCTCCTGCCAGGAGCAGGAGAGCTGAAGACCAATGGTGACCGCTGGGTGACGTTTCCCACTCACTTCGTGTGCTCTTAATCCTCTGAGTGCTGCTAGCCAAGACCTGTGCACCAGGCAGACACAACATGAAGGACAGACAAGGACCATCCCCTGGGCCCTCCTGGCTGGGGGATCTTCCAGGAGGAAGCCACTGCACTTCGAAGCGCGTCACAGCTCTCCTGTGACCTGCCGACGAAGCTTTACTGGAATTCAGGTTTTGAGACCGAGATGCTGATTTGTACTTTTCCACTCTGTTTTCTTAACCTGCCGACTTGTCTGTAACTTGTTTTCTAAGTACCCAGTGAATTTTGGAACTCTGGATGCACAGCAAATTTTTCTGTAACAAGCCTTGCTTTCCAGTTCCCTAAACCTCTGACTGTGATCCTGTGGTTCAACATGGTGCAGGGCTGTGGAGCTGTACCCTGGCAGCAGCACCAACACAATTTCCCCAATAGGTGGTTTAATGAGGGACCACTCCATGGGGTGGTTTATCCTTGCCACAAGCAGGGTCTTCAGACTTTAACTACAGGGAAAAAACTGGTCCCTAGCATAAGACTCAGAAGTTACCGGTTTACTCTGAACAGAATCTGTTTTTTATTACCACCCACATCCCTCGTTCTTCCATTCAAGATATTTTTTCCTGTTTCCCAGAAGAAAGAAATAAAAGGTCATAAAAGAACAAGAATGATCAGCAGGAGCCCTGAGCCCCATCAGTACGGTGTTTGTTCTTTTAAGAGTAGGGAGTCGTAGATTTCCCTTCATAACAGTAAAATTTCAGTGAAAAAAGAAGTACGATTGGTTATTTGGTACATGTAGGTCAAACAGCCAACCCCACTGATTTGGAACCTTCTCAACCAGCCCTCTGAACTTCTAAACCCAGCTGATGTGTTCTTTCTCCACGCTCTTTCCTCCTCCGCCATATTGTATTATGGCACGAGATGAATTTCTGCCCCTATGATTGTGCCACAGTTGCCAAGGTAACAGTGGAGCTGGAGCTAACTTCCTTCTTCTACCCTTTCCAAATTTTCTATTCCAATAGACAGTCAGAATAATGCATTCTGTGCTATATCCTGCCTTTTCCAACCTCAGTTGAGTTTTGGTTGATGAAATGTTGCCTTTTCTGTTTCATTTGCAAAATTGTGGCGGTCCAAACAGCCTGGGATGGGGGTAATAATGCTTGAAGTGATCATTTGAATTTAACAAAATATCAGTTGGTGGAGGGAAGTAGATCAGAATGTATTAGTGCATTTTAATGTAATAACTATTAAAGAATAACTGAACAACTCTGATTTCGTCTTATTATACATGATGAGCTGAATTGAAGCCTTTCGTGGCTGCCAAGAGAGGCCTAGAAAGCATGAAATCTTTATCCAAACTAAGAAAGGGCTGACTGTGTGCATGGTGGCATTCTACATTGAACTAACTGAGCAGACCAGCCCTTGCTTCAGATCTCAGAAAGGTTGTCTCCTGGAATCCAATGCTGCTACTTTTCTCCTTGTTGTTGCACTCTGGTCAATAACAAACATGTTTTCTTTTTTGCTTCCCTAAGTAACTTTGAAAGGACAAGACAGGCAAAGATTTTTCTCAGCATCACTTATGGCTAAAAGAATAGTTGACTGTCCTAAGGATCCTGAGATCAAAGAAACAAGAGCCCTTAATTCTCAACCTGTGCAATACCACGTGAGACTGTAGGACAGTGGGACAGAGAAATGATAACATGGCCCCCGGTCCTAGGAGGAAGTGTGTACCGTGCAAAACCAACGACAGGATTTTTGCATTAAAAAGTTGACTATGTTCCCGCATTTCAATCATACCTAATCAAGTAGGAGGCTGGAATCTGAAGACATTTGTTATTCATTCTTATTAAGGTTATTTTCTATTAACTGCGTGTATGAAATTTCCAATCAATTTAAAAATCCAAATATTTTTAAAAACTTCTTGGAACAATTTTCTCCTGGTTATGTTGCTAACTGCACGAATCAACTCTTCTAGGGTAAATTCTGGCAAACTACTCTTAGTTTTTAATTACAGGGTATTGCTGTTCCCACGCAACTTTGTTTGGCAAATTCTACAGAAAATCATTACAAGTGATTTTTATCTCTTCGGCCTGACTGCATCATAATAGCTGCATCTCTTCTTGCAAATGAAGGCCTTAAGCTCCCTGCAGCCCTTCCCGCCCCTCCAGCCCACTGGATCCGAGACAGACTGCTTCTTTCTCCTAACTCAGCTGCTCTGGTGGTGCAGCCCCATCCCCCTCTCCTCCTTCTTTTTCCACTATTTTTTCTATTTTGAGAAATTTCAACGCTGAAATTTCAAAGTTAAAACATTGCAATGAACACCTTTTGCTTTAAATGCACCAGTTGTTAGCATTTTCCACATATTCTTTCTCTGTCTGTAAATAGACACTCTTATTGCTGAACCATTTGAAAATAAGTTGCAGACATTATGAAACTTTGAAATACTTCATCGTGTTTCTCCTAGAAATGAGAACATTTTCCTACCAATCTGCAGTATCGTTATCACACCTAAGAAATTTTTAACCATCTTTACTGTATATATCTAATATGGAGCCCTGATGCCATAGTGGTTAAAAGCTTGGCTGCTAACTAAAAGTCAACAGTTCAAATCCACCACTCACTCCTTGGGAGCCCTATGGGGCAGTTCGGCTCTCTCCTATAGGGTCGCTATGAATCGAAACTGATTCAAGGGCACCTAACAACAAGAACATATCCTACATAAATGATATTGTTTCATTCTTATTGCATCACATCAGGAGGTACATAGTGTGTACTTGTCTCTTTTTGGGATTGATCTTTGGGTCCAGGTATTGTCTGCCTGATCCATTCATTATAAAGTCCCTTCTTGGCTATAAAGGTCTGAGATTCAATACACGTAACATTTTACAGAATGTGAGGCTGTACAAACGTGCATTCCTTTCCTACTGTTCTCCAAGAGGTCCAGGATCTGCAACCCCTCCACCCCAAATTAAAACCATTGGTTGGATGATATAAAAGTGACCAAGGATTCATACCTTTCCATTTAGCAAAGGAAAGGGGAAACCGGAAGATTCCATGTGCAGGTCATATATGAGTATGTGGCTATGAGAATTTGTATGGTCCCTGGAGCCAGACTTGAAATATATATAATTTTTTTTGTAATTTTGGGCTCCCATCCTCAGTGACCTCACATGCAGACCCATGGTTTGTTTATAGAGGGCATGCATTCTCAAGGGGGTGATTGCCCAAGGGGGCAAAAATTGGTTCTTGGGGGAGGTGTTAAAAAAATCTTAGATACAACAATGGTTTGTGGCCCTCCAAAGGGCCACAGTACATAGCAGATATAAAGTATATGTACGGTATTAAAAGTTCACAGGAATTGGGTCGTGGGGGGACTATTAAAGTGTCCAAAAAGCCTCCTTTAAAAAAAAAAAAAACCATTGCCATCGAGTCGATTCCAACTCATAACGACCCTATAGGACAGAGTAGAACTGACACATAGAGTTTCTAAGAAACAGCTGGTGGATTCGAACTGCTGACATTTTGGTTAGCAGCCAAACTTTTAACCACTGTGCCACCAGAGCTCCAAAAAGGCTCCTAGAGGACCCATAATAGAAAGATAAATAAGTTGAGAAATACTAGAGTCACTTTCTGTTTCTTAGGTTGTCGATTTTCTCTTCCTGGGATGTTTTCTCATTGCTCAGAGCCGAGAGTCTCTGAGTCAGGAGGAGTGGAAGCAACTTCGAGAGATATCTTCCTCCTACTCCCTTAAACCATATCAGCAGCATTCTAAGTGAAAACCTGATCTCACACAGATCTTCAGTCAAGAAATTCTGTAGCATCCTTTGGTATAACCCACCAAACCCTTCACAACATCTGAAATCCTTCCATTCAACCCAAGCCAAACTATTATCTTTGAGTTTCAGCACATCTTTTCTAGTGTTCCACTTTAAGAAAGATCCTAAGATTATATAGAATTAGTAGAAATATAAATATTTATAAAATATTTATAAATAATAGCTTTATTTGAGTATCTGTTAAATATGTGGAGACTATTCCCATTTGTCCTTCAACCTCTTTCCTTTAGAGTTCTCTTACATGTAGCATTCTCTTGGAAGTCTTGTCCATTGTTAACCATTTCTGTAACTCACCTTGAAATCTTCCCAAAGCTCTCCATGTCACCCAGCATTATGGAAGCAGCAGCAATGAACACGATAAGAAATCATTTCATGCTTTCTCCAAACTCTATTGTGTCTTTGCTAAGTCCTGACTTGCTTTTTATATATTTATCGATTTTCTTTTCTAGTTTATTTGCCCATAAAAGATTCTTATCTGAATTATATACAACCATTTTGGTTTTCCTTCCTGGGTTTCCTTCATTCCTACCTTGAAAACTCTTATTAGATTATTACACTGGTGTGTGTGTGTGTTAAGTTTCCCCTTCCTTTGGCAAAGCATTAAAGGATTTGGATAGAATTATTCTCATCGCTCTATGGTAATTTATACCAATCCATCATTCTGGTCGTTGATGGAAGCCCATCCCTTCTTATTGTCTGTAACCCTATGTGCCTTCCACACCCCGTGGGTATCACACTGTGAGAAAATAAATATCACAGGAAAAGTATGAACATGCCTTCAAGATACGTGTACAAGGGCACAATCACAAAGGGAGTTGGAGGTATCGTTTGGATAAGACTGTTGTCCTCATTTTTAACTTTTTGGTCTTGAAATAGGTAATTCTCTTAGAATTAGCCAAACAAAGTATATTTTTGAAATAGTGGTTTTTTTCCTCCTGTTTAAAAAAATACATATATCAACAAAAAACTTTTATAACAGGCCGTTTCCCTCTAGGCAGGTATTAATTCTGAGTAAGAAATTTTCAATGTGTAAATAAGGATTTTTATAACTTTTAGAGGGAAGAGTCCATTTCTAACCAAGCGTTTAAGCTGTTTGACTAGCTTTTAGTGTTCTGACCTGAAAGTTTTTCAGTATCTTTTTTAACTGCATCAG